AAGCAGGAAGATGGGGAGAGAGGCCAGCAGAGAGCAGTTCTGCAGGTGGGAACTGCTGTGAAGGATAAGTTATGGTGGCTTTTTTGTAAGTAAACAAGAACATTAGCAAGGTTCTTGGCTGTAAAACTGACTTCTTGTCCCATAAGGAACAGTCCTACAAGGCTGTACAATATGAGTAATGTTCAGTCCAGAAGGGGACCAGCTGCAATAACAGCTCATTGACATTGGCCACCTATAACAGCACGTTCACCAGTGACAGTGAATTTCTTGCTACCTTGAGCTTAAGGGTAATGATCTAGGTGCATCAGTACTAATAAACTCTCCTTATGTCCAAAATGAGGTGTCTGCATGCAAGTTCCCTGGTGAGAAAAGCGTGGTAATAACTCCTGATTTTTATGCTGGGAAGTCATTTAGGAGGGTTTTAGCTGTCCCGGGCCAAAGTCATGTCAAGAGCTGTGCCAACAGTTTACCTGTATGAGAGATGATGTTCCAGTGTGATTCCAGAAGTAGTGATCTGCACAGCCAAGGGTGCTGGCGTAGAGGCAATGACTGATGGGCTCAGGATAAGAGCAGGATCATAGAATCATCGAATCATTAAGGTTGAAAGAAACCTTTAAAATCATCTAGTCCACCTGTTGACCCACCATCACCATGCCCACTAAACCATGTCCCTAAGTGCCACATCTACCTGTTTCTTGAAAATCTCCAGAAACAATGACTCCATCACTGCCCTGGGCATCCTCACCACTCTTTCTGAGAAGAAATATTTCCTAATATCCAACCAGAACCTACCCTGGCACAACTTGAGGCCATTACCTTGATTATCTTAATCCATTACCTTGATTATCTCAGTCAGATCTTCTTGGCTGATCTCCTGTGAGTCTCATGAACATCTGTAAACAAGAGTGCCTTTCTAGATATTCAGTGACGGATGGAAACCAGCATTATTTGCATTAAGTGTGGAATTAGGGATTATTTGGATGGGGAATTAAAACAGCATCTGCTTGCTCCCATTTCAGATTGGGATGGACTTCGTGATGAACACCAGTTGCTCTCTGCCTAAGATAGGACCTTAAATAAGAGTGGATCAGCATTTCATTTAAATAGTAAGTTACAACACACCAGTCTCTTCACCCCGTGTATTATTATTATTAGCCGCTCCTCCTGACAGGTAGCCTTGTTATTTAATATCATTTTCTCCTTGTTCTCTGTAGGTTCCCATAAGCATGGAGGCCATCTCACAAAACCTAGCCCTTCTTGTTATTTTTATCCAGGAGCAGCTAACGGTAAAAGTGACAACAGAATGGATGGGGGAAGTGGGCTAGAGCGTGAAAAATCCGGTCGTAAAAAGTCAGAGTGTTTGCAATAAAATATCTATACATAAAGGGAGAAGAGGGAGGGGGAAGCAGTTCTGGACACAAAGCAGAGCAATAAGCTGTGAAAAGTGACGTCTGGTCCAGATGGAGAAAGTGTAAATCCAGCTGTCAGTGCAATAATATCCCTCAGCACCGTGTATGCATTTCCTTCAGGGGAGCTGATGCCCATGCTGGTGGCTGATGTGGGACAGGAGCTAAATCCTGGTAGTTGCTGAAGTGCAGAAGGGTGAAGAGATGTGCTTGGAGCCTCCCAGCTTTGTCAGCAGATCTGGAATCTGTCTGCAAGGGAGGGCTTTCCCTCTTTGGTGTTGCAGAAAAGGGGTTGCTGCAGGGGTTTGTGTTTGGGAAGATGGTCTGGGTTGCAGCAGGACCCAAGAGATAGAATCATAGAATCATTAAGATTGGAAAAGACCATGAGGATCATCTAGTCTAATTGTCAACCCATCACCACCATGCCTACTAAACCATCCCCATCTACTGTAGACAGTGAGCATAGAACCTTCGAGTAATTGCTTCAGCTTCATACAGGTGTTCGCAATCGTTAGGGACTCATCGGTCTGTCCATCTACCTCGGTGCACACCAATGTGGTGGGTGGTAAAATGGCGTTTATTAACTCGTGGCAACAGCTTATATAGCCTTGTACAACTTCGTCTACGCCCCTCTTATCTTGCGTAAGCACTTGCGTCACTACTTTCTTATCTGATTACTACTAGCAATTACTCGAAGGTTCTATGCTCACTGTCTACAATCTACCAAGGGGAGGTGATTGCACCACTTTCCTGGGCAACCTCAGGGTTGGCAAAAGCATGTCATGAAGAGAATGTTAAGGCAGAGAAATGAATTAAGTCCCAGGGAACCTGAGTAATCCCCACTGGCTTAACCCAGTGCAGTCCACTTCTACGGATTGATGAGGACTCAGGAGCACGCATTGGAAATTACATTCTGTCAGAGGAATCAGAATGGGAGTGAAAGCCTCTATGATCACAAAACAGTGGTCTTCAGAGTTTTCACTGGGAACAAGGGGTGGTGATCCCTGGCCTGTACTACTCAGAGATGCATCTGTCTCAGGGGGGAGTAAGGAGGGAAGAGTAATAAACAGCAGCAAGACCATGGGATGTCTCCAGCTGCTAAAAGCCTGTAGAATCTGAATCAAAGGAGGAAATTTTTCTTTTGGCAGTCCCTTCTGAACTACAGGATGTTTAGCTCCCAAATATGTCTCTGTTACTTGTGCTCATGGAATAGTCTCATCTTGCTGCATAAGTATCCAGGTGTGTAGGATGAGTAGTTTTTACAATGTGTGTGCCATTGATATCTGTGTTTGGGCTCTGTAGGCTGGTGTGTGTGGCCAGGTGGGGTGAGATTCATAGAATCATAGAATATCCCAAGTTGGAAGGGAGATACAGATCGAGTCCAACTCCTGCGTTCACTAGTCTGGAGAGAAGAAAAGCTGAAATTCAAAAGAGGGTAGACTATGGGCTTGTGGTAGACATTTACTACTATATTTCATGTAGCTGTGATGCTTTATAGCATCCTCTAGCAGCATTATCCTGCAATGCCAATGGGGTCTCTTTGGCTCATGTACCCAAGCAATGCACAACGATCTCTGTGCAGATGAGATACCTAGAAAACCTTCCTGGATATCAAGATGTAGGCCAAAATAAGTATGATGAGTGCTGTGTGTGCAACAGTCTTGGTCCCAGATGTGGTCAATACCACAAGTCTCTTGCTATGCCCTCTCCAGCTTTATGAGAGCATCCAGCATGTTTCCCAGCTTACAGTATCAGATGCTGGCAAAAAACTGTAGAAAGACAAAGGACATTAGATAAGGAAAGAAGATCTGCCCAGAACGAGGAATTGTAACCTGCCACACCAGGATATTTCTGGTGCTCCCTACAATGAGAGATAGTGCATGAATGAGCCACACCATGCACACTTGCTTGGTGGCTTTTGGCAGCACAAAAAAATACATAACACCAATGCAATTTCCAAATCAAGGGCTGGGAGGCTTGTGCTTATTGAAATAGTATGAAGAGGTTCATATTTGTAGTGGTTCTGGCTGCAGCTTCTTACTCACCAAGCGTATAGCTCAATGCAGATCTCCATGACATGAGATATTATGAATGCAGAAAATGATTCCTATGCTAGAACAAACACCGTGCATTTTACCAGTGAGAAATACAGCCCTTCTGACTGAAGTAGGAATATTTTGGAGAGGTTTTACTGCAGTTCATCCCTATTCATACTCACTTTACTAGGTAAGCACTGGCTCTGGCCAGCAGACTGATGGAGACAGACCTTTGGCTGTCCTCTGTAGGAGAGACCCCTGGCAGACCCCTGTGAGGCTGATGGATAGGCTGCAGCTGATTAACTGAAGGAGGAAGTCTAACATGAATCTTGCTGGGAAGTTAACAATTCCAGTTAAGGTTCATTGACTTTTTGCTTATAACACACGACAAGGGTCAGACGATCAGTTTTACCTTGGAACACAGGTAAACTGCATTGTCACAAGGAAAAATACAGCCTTGACACCTAGAGCTGCACAGAACATTTTCATAGCATCCTCTTCACACTGCCCTGCTACTGCTTGGTGGAAAGTACAACCTTTAGCAGCAACATGATATTTTGGTTTCAGAGGACAATAAATCCCAGGCTCCTCGTATCAAAGATCTTGGATGTTATCTCTGCAGGGGGTCCATTGTAATCAACCCAACAGAGAAAAGGCTGAAATCACCTGTTCTCTATGGGCTGCCACCACCCCAGGAACCACCCAGCCTCATCAATGTAACTTGGAGGCAACATTTTTCTCTATTTGCCTACTCAGCCAGCTGGTGTAAATCCTTCGGAGCAGGAGCAGATCTCATCTCTAGATGTCATTTTCAGCCTCTGAGCTGTTTGCTGAGGATTGCTAACAATTACTCTTGTGAAACAGAATATCATAAAGACTGGGAACTGGGGGAGGAAAAGCTCTTCATTGTTACGTCAGGATCTGATACTGATCTGTGATACAGCCATCCATCTTCTGAGCAGTTGGGATCAGTCCATCTGATGGGTATTAGAACAGTTTGTTTAGCGACCTACAGGGAAAGGAACTTGATAATGTAATGTGATGGTGGCAGTTCCTTTAGGAACGGATAAGAGTGGTCCCATGGGAAGGGCTATGGGCTGCCAAATAGCTGCCCCTATTGTGCTGAGTATGCGTGATTTTTTTTTTTTTCTGCTGGAGAGAGAATGGTTTGCTATTTTTTTTTTTTGTTGGTTTGCGTTATCACAGTTTAGCTGACATATTGTACACCTTTCCCCAGTTATTTAAAGGTCAAATATCTGATGAATTCCAAGAAATGAGCATTGTTTATGCTAAATAAAGTCCATGCTGTAGTGAAAAGCTCCTGAACTAGCTGTTCTGCTGCTGAAGGTAGTTCTGAAGGGAGAGGAGAAGACTCATAAATGAGGGAGAAGAGAGCAATAGGAATGGCTCAGCTCTGGAGGGATGTCCATTGGCTTACTCCTTGACTGACCCCCATGTTTGGCTACTGATGAAGGACATCTGCACTGCTCGTGTGGACACAGTACTGCAGAGAGTGTTCCATGAGAGTCAGGCTGGATATTAGGAGAAATTTCTTAGAAAGAGTGGTGAGGCAGTGTAACAGGCTGCCCAGGGATGTGGTGGATTCACCATCCCTGGAGGCATTCAAGAACAGGGTAGATGTTACACTGAGGGGCATGGTGGGGATGGGTTGGTGGTTGGACTAGATGATCTTAGTGGGCTTTTCCAGCCTTAATGATCCTAGGATTAAAAGGCCAAAGAGACATGGGGAAACTCCTCTGTGCACTCCCACAAAGTCTGAAGAGCTTTTCTAGGAGGCTTTGAATGCAAGGGGAGCTCTTGAGGGCATGCTGGAAACTATTGTCCTATTGTGTCTAGAACAGACAGACAGGGCCAGGTCACTGGCAAAGGTAAATCTCCAGGGCCTCATGGAAACATAGGAAGCTAGACTGATTTACAGCAGCTGAAAATCTGCCCTCCACATCCTGTGAAGTAAGAGATTATCTCATTAACCCCCAGACTTTCCTTGCCACGCTGGGCAATAAACAACTCTGTCAGTGCATCTTTGTGCATCTGCTGCCTTTTCCAGTGGAGCAGATGTTTGGAGACTGCCTGAATGAAACACAGATGCTTACAGCAACATTCTTGAAGCCAGACTGCTGAGCTGAGTTGTCCTATTGAAATTCTCCAGGGTTTTGAAAAAATTCTGTGTGAACCCATTCATACAGTTGGCCTCCATGACACCCTGTGACAAGCTCCACAGGTTTACTGCACACATCACGTAGATGAAAAGATCTTTCTTTTGTTGGCATCAGCCCCTTTTCCTTACTTTCCTTTGAGTACATATTGGGTTCCAATATGATCAGCCATCAGAAATCATTCTCTTTTTTTTTTTTTTTGCCATGCATGCCATGCTTTGTCCTTGCATGCCATGCTTTGTCCTTGCTGGTCTCTAATTTAAAGATCTCCACCTCTGAAATGTCAATGTTTCTGCACACATTGCATTGGGATCTGAATGTGGACATGTGCCAAATGAAACGCATGTTGTTTTCTCATTTATTGTCTTTCAAAAGTCAAATGATTCTCACGTGCTTTTTGTGTTTTTCTCAGGCAATCTGTTTTTCCGAGGACTAAACACGTAAGAAGCTTCAACAAAAAAGGTGTTTTTGCCAGTAATTGCTCAAGTAGCCTCAAGTTGAACTCTTTCCTTTTAGCTTTCTGACCACTTTGGACTAAATAGCAGGTGTCTGCCATACAAAAAAAATAAAAAAAAATAAAAAAAAAAATTGTCATAAACTCATGCCCAAAAGAGCTTCACATCTTTGAGTTTCATGACTGTCCTCCTTAGAAAAGAACTATGAACAACTCTAAAGGCAATATGGGCTGTCAGCTTTGGTTTATTCCTAACCATCAGACCTTCTTCAAAGAGGGATGTTTCTTCTTGATGGGTTGATGGTTGGACTAGATGATCTTAGTGTCCTTCCAATCTTAATGATTTTATGATTCTGCATGTGAGCTGTTGAGGAAAGCAAGGAATGACAACCTTTCATGGGAATTCAGAGCACAAAAGTTTGATGTAGGAATACAGTTGCACAAGACATAACTGCTGACAGGAGCTCTGTCCAAGACCATGATGAACAGCAGATCTACATGTAGGTGGTGATCCAAGGAACAATCCATGCATGTCAGAATATTTTATTTCCAAAATTCTGATTGAAGACAAAGACTGGCTTTGTCTGCCACCTGAGGCTGTTTGGGCTGAACTGGAGAGATTGAGAAGGAAGGAAGTTATGTGGAACACAGATGGGAAAATCGTGTTTTAACCACTGAAATTTTTAAGTCTATACCAGTCGTTTCTGATTGTTTTAGCCTATCTTTATCCAGTGAATAAAAAACACTGGGAAGAAGGAAGTCTTTAGTAAGGATTCAAACTCCTTTCATTGCTCTGAAGAATTTAGAGATTTCAATAAAAGTGCTTTTGACTCCAGAAGATGTTTTTCATCAAAACTACAAAAGGACAATTCTAACTCTCTTAATCAAATAAAGACAAACATAATAAAATCATCAAACACAAAGCTTTTGTGCCATGTTTCTACATCAGAAAGATGTTTTCTGGGTACAAACTGAAAACTCAGATCCTTTCCCATATTTAAGGAAAGTCTTCTGTGTATCTTTTGAGGTAAATTTGTCTAGAACAGACTAGAATGCTTTCTGATGACTATTTTTTTTTTCCCATCAATAAATCCTGTTTTATTGGAAACTGAGTCTTTCCATTGGAAAATAACAATTACAATGAAAATCTGATTGAGAGGAGCTTCTGAGGTCCCACAGTGAATTTGTGGTCAAAACTGGAGAGAAAGGGAGTTGGTATGCAATTTTATTTGAGTATGGCTAATACGGAAATCCCATAGCAGAAGAAACTACAAATCTCTGCTTCAGTAAACACTGTCTTTTGCAAAATGCAGCAGTTCAACACAGATATGAGCCAGCAATGCATCCTTGTACTAACCCAGTTGTGGACTCTATTAGCAAAGATGTAGCCAGCAAGTCAGGGGAACTGATTATTCACCTCTGCTGCTGGGTTATTATGTTAAGTTTGGTGATCTTCCAGGACAGAGGCCAACAAGATTTTTGTGGGGCTGAAGCCCACGTGTGGAGCTGCTTAGGGAGCCGGGTTGGCTTTGAAGATGAGAGGAAAGGAGGATCCAACCACTTGCTTCCACAGCCTAGAGGTGACTTACTTAGAAAAAGCTGTAGTCAAGCTCTTCTCAAAGGTATAAGAAGAAACAGGCCCAAATGTCAATACAATTTCCAACTAGAAATATTGGAAAAATTTACCCTGAGAGTGGTTAAGAACTGAGATAGATTTCCAGACAGCCTGCAGAATTTCCAGCTTTAGAGATATTCAGAGTTTGACCAGGTAAGGCTCTGAGCAACATGCACAGTGCAGCATTTGAGCAGGATAGGTAGACTTCTGCAATAGTGGGGGTAAATGTTGTGGTGGAAAGTTGTGTGGTTGTGTTGTATGAGAACAAAACAGAGATGTAGACTGTCAAAGAGATATAAATGACTTGCCTACAGACTGGCCAAGCAACAAGAATCATAGGATCATAGCATAATTAAGGTTGGAAAAGCCCACTAAGATCATCTAGTCCAACCATCAAGCATCAAATTGAATCTGCTCCACTCTTTCTGATTTTCTGTGAAAAACACAGCTTCTTTTTTTTTTTTATTTTCTTTACAGTCAATTTATTTGGCAGTTCTGAGAACAAGGAAACCATTTCATTACCTGCCCTATTCAAGATAGGGTTAGACGTGTCCTTGGGCAAGTACTTACCTCCAAGCCACCTGCATCCAGCCCTCTGTGGTCCTTTCCTCATCCCTTCCCCATGTCAGATTGTGCTCATCCCATCATGCACAGGATTGGTACCTCCTGCAAAAAGCCAGGCTGGCTGCAGGGATCAGCAGAGTCACTAAGCACATCACTCCTAAATTCCTTGAGGCTTTCCGGAAGAGAAAGGTGGATGAATTCCCAGTGTGCTCTGATTTATATAGCTTGGTTCCATAACTGCTAAACAATGAGTGATTGGGGTTTGTTTGACAGCCTGGTCTAAACCTTTGCACATGTTAATGTTAGCACATATTTTCTTTCTGATGCAGAATTCTCCTGAGACCAGGCTGTTGCTTGCAGGGGCAAATGAGGGATTAAAATTTCTGCTGGCTGCAAGCAGAGCTTTTAACCCACTTGGCTATAGAGCAGGTGGTTATTACTGATGTGGGAAGTGTCAAAAGACATGTCCCAGTGGGGCTAGACTGGTTTCTTCAATCCAGCCCCCTCCATCCAAAGCCTTTGGGTAGAAGAGAGGCCAGACTCCTCTGTGATCAGATATGCTTCCCGTTCAGGAACAAGCTCTGTAAATTCAATTGCTGTATACTAGGCAGCTCCCTGACAGGTTCTGGGTTCAGTGGGGATGTACATCAGGGTGATGGAAATGTTCATAGCAGGCAGACTGTGGTGCCTGCAGCTGGATTCCCAGAGATGGGCTCGTAGGAGCTCCAAAAGACTCAAAGGCAACAACATTTGTTTTACATCACTAGAAGATTGTTATCACAGCATATGGGGGCAAAAACCAGAGATCAGAGGCCTGTGCAATCTGATTTCATTGATTTTCCATTAAGGTGAGGAATATTTAGATTGGGTATAAGAAAAAGCTTTCTTTACAATAAAGGTAGTGAGGGAGCGGCACAGGTTGCCCAGAGAGATGCCTCATCCATGGAGATATTCGTGGTCAGGCTAGACAGGACTCTCAGCTCCCTGATCTAGCTGTAGATGTCCCTGATCATTGCAGGGAAGTTAGATTATCACAGAATCACAGGATGGCCAGGGTTGGAAGGGACCTCAGGGATCATGAATCTCCAACCCCCCACCACAGGCAGGACCACCAACCTCCCCATTTAATACTAGACCAGGCTGCGCAGGGCCCCATCCAATCTGGCCTTGAACACCTCCAGGGACGGGGCATCCACAACCTCTCTGGGCAGCCTGTTCCAGCACCTCACCACTCTCTCTGATGTCCAACCTAAATCTCCCCTCCCTCAACTTTAAACCATTTCCCCTAGTTCTGCTGTTATCTACCCTTTCAAAGAGTTGATTTCCCTCCCCTCTGTAGGGTCCCTTTAGGTACTGAAATGCTGCAATGAGGTCATTATATGACCTCTAAGGGTCCATTCCAACTCAAATAATTCTATGATTTTGTGATCTATCAACGTTAAGAGGCAGGACAGTATTTTGTTGGCTGCTGAGTCCTCATCTTGCTCCTGGCATCTTCCAGTGCCACACCATGAGTCCTTATATCCAGCTGTGCTTTTCACCTATAAAGTGTTCCTTGTCCCAGATAAATTAATGGTGCTCCATTCCACTCTTCTCCCCTCTTTTCTCATTTCTCCCAGAATATTAGGAAAAGTGAGCATATAGTGCCCAAGAAGGTCCGCCTAACCATGGACCATTGCACTGGGACATTTGCATGGCCCAGGCATCAGAAACTAGCGCACACAAAAAAAACAACAGCAGAAAATCCCTGACAATTCAGGAATGCTACAGAGCTTGCCTCTGCAGTTTCTGAAGAAATGAAGCTGGAGATGGGCTGGCACCGCCATCTGCTGTAAGTTTCCATGAATTAACCAATTCTGAGCAGCTCCAGGATGAATAGACCTGCCTGCAATTTTACAGCTGATCAGAGCAATGCTGATATTGATGGTGCTAGCCCAGCAGTGCTGATCTGAATGATTCAAGGATACATCAATCCGGTCCTCAGTATTTTCCAACTTGGTTTCCTCTTCAGAAACACTCAGAGCATCAAGCTGCAAGATGCTAAGTGCAGGGATGGAGGAAAAAAGAAAAGTGATTGGCAGTGGAGGCCAGACCCCTGTCTTTTATAAGAAGTATTTGAGTCTATGGGGTTAGCAAAATTTGGGTAGCAATTGTCTTGAAGATGGCTGCTAGGTATGTTGAGTGCCACTCTGGAAAAGGTAGTGTCATTTCTTATCTATGATAGCAAAAGGCAACAGAAGTCCTTATTTAAGACTTAATGGCTAAATTTTAATTTTTCTCAATCTCCTCAATGCTTTCATCTGCTTCTTGTCTGTCTAAAGCAGGGAGTGTATCATGGCACTTAGTTAAAAGCAGATGTCTGGCACTAAACTAACCCAAACCCAGACATTTCATTTGAGCTTTCAGGGAAGAAAAAAACAAATCAAACAAACAAACACACACAAAAAATAGAATTACTTGAATAAAACCACAGCTTTTTCTCATAGTAAAACTTGATTTTGCAAAGCTTGCCTTCCTGCTGAGTAATTGTTCCTACAGACAATTCCCACAGACATGTCAGAAAGGCAGGGAGTCACAAGCTGGTACTCCTGGGTTGTATGTTGTCAATTAGTTAAAGCCAATTAAGCAGTTACTGGGTGTTACTAAACTGGAGTTGATTTCAATAAATTGAAAGCGTTTGAGGCATTTGGCATCAAAAAGTAAATCTGAAGGATTCCAATTGTGTTTCCCAAATCAAGTATTTCCTTTTCTCCCTCCCATCTCAAGAAAAGGTTAGATGTGGCACTGAGGGACATGGTTTAGTTGGGCATGGTGGTGATGAGTTGGTGTTTGGACTAGATGATCTTATGATCTTTTCCAACCCTAATGATTCTATGATTTTATGATTCTCCACTCCTTTTTTAAAACATTTTCTACAATACTGACCTTGCAATGATGAAAAAACCTCTTTTCTTTCCCAGTCAGTTATGTCTGAGCTCATCATAAAGACAAAAGCCCTAACCTGCATCCTTTCTGAAAAACCAAATCCAGCTGTCTAGATTGCACAAGCAGAGGTGCACAAGCAGATGATATTTGGTAGGGAAACTGGCGTCCCAAAGTTGGGCATCCATCTGAACACTGCTCCACGACACAGTTCCTCTACTCTAAAAGTCCTTTTCCCTGTTGTGGCATCCTTTGGACACAAGAGTGGGACGAACTGATGGGTTTATTGTTGGACGAGATCATCTTAGTGGTCTTTTCCATCTTTAATGTTTCTATGATTCTATGAATTAAAGTCATTACTTAGAAATGAGACTATCTCAAGTGACGTAATGCAAGGCACTCCATGGGATAAGTGTCACCCAAGCTGTCCTCAAGTTCCTGGGATGTATAGATGTATGGGAACCATTGAGTCATGGCCTAAACCACTGATTGATCACCTGGGGAGAAGACTGAGTCAGCCATGGGAGCACAGGTGAAGGCAATTCACCTATGTGACTGGAAGGGGTGGCTGGCTGCACCTCTCTTAGACCTCATTTAAGGGCTGACTGCCACTAGGGAGGGATTTCTTTCTGCACATCCCTTTTTTGTGGAGTCCTTTCTGTAGCTTAGATCTTCAGAGATGGGTGCCTATAAAATACCATCCTAACAGCGCTAATCTCCCAGTTGTAACAATAGAGTACAATCCAATTGCCTAAAGATCTGGTACATTTTGAGATACTTTGGGATACCTTGAAGATATAGAGAGGGGGCCAGCATCTGAACACACGAAGCTGATTGCCAGCTAATATGTGATATTTATGTGCCCCAGTAGGATGAGATCCTTTATTTTTTTCTAGGTGCTCTACAACATTTAAGTTCAGCTCTCAAACTGAAGGAATCCATGTTTTGAATGTTTTTTCTTTCTGCTCCCTTTCTCCTCTGGCTTTCCAGCTTGCCTTGTTTCCCAGAGCCCAACAACCCAGAGACCAAAGGAAACAGAGTCAATTCCTACCGTCCTTTTCACAAATCACTCATGTTACATTTGATTGAGTTATGGGTCTAATTGGCCTAAAACCATGACAGGGGTCTTCAGTCAGTCATGTGAACCAGACCCACATGACCCCAAACATTTTCATCTTCCTTATGGCCAGCTGCAAAGTAATCCTGCGGATTCATTTGAAATTGAGTTCACAGTATCAGAAGTTTCAGTCTCTCCAAATTAAACACAAAAAACGTTATTGCAGGTTGGACTCAGCAAACCTGGTCTCGAAGAGGATCCTCTGCCATTCTGTAAGGCACCGGGCAGCAAAATGTCTGTTGAATGCTATGGCAAGGATTTGAGTGCTTCTGAAAGATTTGAGCTGATCGGTATGGGATTGAGCACAGGAACTTGTGCTTGGTTTCAGTGCATTAATTTTCAAAGGGGATTCCCTAGGGAAAAAGCAGAGAGGATTTGGAAGATATCAGGTCGCTAAATATATCTGTTTGACAACAGCTTAGAGCCACATGTGATATGCCTCTGGAATCCTAGCAGGATTGATTTATCTTGGTGTTAGGCCTAATATACTTAAAAGCCCTTTATAAATAACTCAGGACCTTTTGCACTTTCTCTTCTACTTGCTTTGTTTATTTGACTGGTTGAGCTGGACCTGTCATTTTTAATGAAAATAAACTCCTTGTCAGAGACCTTTTCCTTTTGGGACCTTCAAAAGGACACATATTGCAATTCTCTGCTCTCCCTTGCTTCCCAGCAGCCCCATTAGTTCTCATCTTCTTGGCTTTGAAAGGCAAAGTGGTTAGGGGAAAGGTTAACTGGGCCTCTGTGAGTTATGTTTCTTCTGGCCCAAAGAACTTGCCTCCAAAGCAGAACCATGAGGCTTTGTATTTTGGGCCTGTTTTCATGGGGTGTGTGCCCAACATGGTGGTAGATCCAAGAAGTCCACTCTAAAGGACTGTGGAGAGGAAAAAGGAGCAGGAGACAGCAGCTCTGGGTTGCAAAAGGATAGATGGAGGAGTGGGGGACTGCCTCCTGCCTTTCCTAGCCTGGTCATCATGTCTTACCCTATCTGGCCACTGGTAACTACTCCACCTCAGTCTGGGATCACTGTGGCAGAAGACACTGGAGGTTGATGCTGTGTGGAGTGTCCTCATAATCCTGAAGCACCTCAAGGGGCAAGCTGAACAGGAAAGATGCTAGCCTTGATGGTGCATCCATTAGGACTGGGAAATGGGTCTGATTGTCCTGACCTGCAAATGCAGGACTGTACCAGGCATAGCCAAAAGGTTTTTTGTCTTTATCTGCAGGAGCTTTGTTTTTTTCCAACTCTGCATGCTATTGATCTGGTGTATGGGTGCAGTAGTGAAAGGGAGCTGACAGCTTTACTTTCTATACCTTGACGCTTACTTCCAAAGGCTCATCTGAACTTCTCTCAGTATCCAGAATGACTTAGCTAAAATGATAACAAAGGCAGATGTGCAGGTGTCCGCAGCCTGATACAGCTCTGGCTGTACCAGCCCCAAACCATACTGCTGTCTTAGACATGAAATGGATTCAGGACAGGTTGTGTTCTACATCCCTTTTCAGGTAAGCTCCAGTTTGAGTGAGCTGTTTCATTTTCTGTTATACAAAAGCACCCTATACATTTGCTTATCTCTGGCTCCAGCATTTCTCTATTTTAACAGATCATTTGGAACGGCAGAGGGAGTGCAAGAGCAAGGAAAAAGAAGTGAACACGCTGAATGTAAGTTTGATCCCCCAGGTGAATAAAAATCTGCAGGGAACAAAAGCCAAGTGCCACATCTACACACTTTTTGAACACCTCCAGGAATGGTGACTCCACCACCTCCCTGGGCAGCCTGTTTCAATGCCTTGCCACTCTTTCTGAGAAGAAACGTTTCCCAATACCCAACCTGAACCTCCCCTAGCACAACTTGAGGCCATTACCTCTCATCTTATTGCTTGTTACCTGGCAGAAGAGGCTGACCCCAATCATCTGTTGTAGCGAGAAGACTCAGCATCCTCTCTCTAGCAGGCTCTATTTCCTTACGCATTAGGTAAATAAGCAGTGTGTAGGAACAGACTTGAGCACTGGAATTTGACTATCCACCCTGGTAAATTCTTTGCATCCTGAACAGTTCTGGGACCAGCACAGTCCCCTGGCATGGACTGGGATTTACCAAGAGCTGTAGCTCAGATGTGCCCCAACTTATTTTGAAGAAAAAATGAGTTCAGTGGTGTGGACAAGGATGGTAAAGCACCCTTTCCTGGGAGAGAGGAGATGTTAGAGCCCCTTTTCCTTTCCTAAAAATAAGAAAAATCTTGCAGAAGGGAGCCAGTGCCTGCTGGAGGACTAGATTAAGTGCAAGAAGATCAATGGACAGCTGACGACCTTCTCCAAATCTGAATGCTGTGTTTTTTAAATAGCAAATGAGAAGGACTGACAACCCTGGGGAATGATGTACAGCCTTAGCATCACCTCCATGCTGGAGCTGCAAAATCATCTCTTCCTTCCAGTGAAGAATGGCCTTGTGTGAGCTGTTGGCTGGAAGGAACAATTCTCAGTGAGCTCCCCAACATCCTCCTCCAACCATCATTCCATCACTGAACTACTGGACTGAGAAGACATTAGCTTGTTTCCTACAAAGGATTTGGGCAACAGTTTTTTGGCTGCATCTTTCCTAATAAATTAAACAGTGCCAGTAGTTGCCTGGGTGGAGAATGGGTTGTTCAGCTGTTAAAAGTCTCAGAATTGCAGAATCATAAGAGTTGGAAGGGAACTCTGGAGATCGTCTGGTCCATCCCCTCTTGGCTCATGAACTCTACACTCTTCCAAGCGTATTTCCAAAAAGTGTACAGGTTTGACAGCATTCCCAATTGACAGAGGCACTAACAGTATGGACATAAGACATTTTGCATTAGTAGATTCAATGATGGAGTCCATCTAAGCCAGACATGCTTGATCTACTTGGGTACACATGCCTTGGAGAGATGGCTTGGCCTTCAGCAGCAATTGTTTGGCCCACAGATTGTCTGGGCACCTGGTTTTCTATTAATGGTGTCCTGGTGTCTTTATGTATTACCAGGTGGGCAAGTGGATGCCAAATGGGATGTAGCCCACTAAGCTCACATTTCAGATCTTGAATTCTTTGAAAGAAATTACCCTTCTCATTTCTCATCTGAAATACCAGCTGGCCTCCAGGCTGAGGCATCGTAAGTCTTGCTTAATAAAAGGCATCAGCATAGCTTACTGGCAACTGCTCTACCATCCTCACTCAGAGATGAAGTTGCCTTGCGGAAAAGTGATTGTGTTAATCACCAGCATTTTCACTCACTTTTGAGTTTCTCAGCAGTCTTTCTTCATCTGTTAGAAATGAGAAAATCCCATGATTGCCTTGCAGCAAGATAGATACCCCAAAAATTTAAATTAAAAAGAGATGTGAGCCCTCCAAGCTCAGAGTCCAAATTGAAAGTCCTTCATACGGGTCAGATAGAAATCAGCATTGCTACACACACACCCAAAAGATAAAAACATGTAAAATCACCTTGTCAGTTACTATTTCACTACTTAAGAGAGAAAAAAGTGATGAAGAGCATTGTGCTAACTAGCAATATGACTTCATGACGCTTATTTTGGCAATGACATGGACATGTTATCTTTATAATAAAAAAAAATCCAAGGTCCTCAAATTCAGAAAACTGTACAAGTTGCAATTAAGTGCTACTGAGGCCAAGAGATTTAAGCAATCTCTCAAGGCAGAGACTTGGCTTGTAAGTGTTACCTTAGTTCAAGAAAATAGGGAATGCAAATCTGGTGAATTCAAAGAGTAATTGGTGTAGCACACAAGACACAACCTTTTCTATTGTTTAACCATAGAGAACAGACTTGAAACAGCTATTCAAATGCTGCTCTTTGTTAGTCTCCTCCCTAGTCCAGTACTAGTCTAATAAGCAACCACATCAGATTTCAACCACCTCCCTGGGCAGCCTCTTCCAGCATGTGGCCACTATTTTGGAGAAGAAATTTTTCCTGATATTCAACCTGAACCTCCCCTGGCACAACCGGAGGTCTTTCCCTTTAGTCCTACCACTGATTATGTGGGAGAAGAGGCCAAACTTCTCTTCACCACAACCTCCTTTCAGGGAGTTGCAGAGATCTGTAAGGTCTCCCTCGAGCCTCCTCTTCTCCAGACTAAACAATCCCAGTTCTTTCAGCCACTGCTCATAAGATTTGTGCTCCAGACCCCTCACCAGCTTCATTGCCCTTCTCTGAACATGCTCCATGGCCTTGATGTCTTTCTTGTAATGAGAGGCCCAAAACTGAACACATCACTTAAGGTGTGGCCGCAGCAGAACTGAGTACTGGGGGACAATCACCTTCCTGCTCCTACTGGCAACACTATTTCTGATACAAGCCAGGATGCCATTGGCCTTCTTGGCTACCCAGCCAATTGTTGACAACACATCCGTCTTTCCTGCCACTCTGACCCAAGCCCGTATCATTGCCTGGGGTTGTGGTGGCCAAAGTGCAGGACCCAGCACTTGGTCTTGTTGAACTTCATCCCACTGGCTTCAGCCTTCCTACCCTCATGCAGATCAACACTACCTCCCAATTTGGTGTCATCTGCAAGCTTACTGAGGGTGCACTCAATGCCCTCATCCAATAAACAGGACAGGCCCAATATCTACCCCTGGGGAACACCAATCACCAGCTGGATTTAACTCCAGACACCATACTGACTGCAACTGTCATTGAGGTGCACTTGCAGAAGAATAAACTGCAGAAATATTTCATCTCATACTAGCAGAAAACATTTTTTTTTTGCAATGTGTGTTTTGTTCTTGCAGATGGGTTGGGCTGGGTCTGTTGTGCAGGAGCAGGGCAAACCTTGAGTTGCTCTTCCTCCCACTCCAATGGATGGGCCTGTTTTACAGCTCTCTCATTTCATGACAGCAGAAGATGATAGTCTCATCTGTGGCTGATTAGTGTGTTTAATTAGCCTACAATTGATTCTATCACTTTCCTTTAAAAACAATTTAACATAGGAGAGCTGTTAACTTTGATGATGTGCTTTCCACTCACTTGGATCATCTCATAGATGATGAGGTTGGCCTTTTGCATATATTGTAGGGTCTGCCCAAAGACAGGCCACACCAACTAGAGCTACAAAAACCTGCTCCCAGGTGTTTTTGGTGCCTGCAGTGTGCAGTCCTGTCCTTGCAATGTGTGACGGTACCTTCATGGTTCCTGAAGAGGGCATTGATGCACCATGCATGGCTAGGGGAATGATAGCTGCATGGGCAGTTTTCCCACTTATACCTTGTGTCACAGGTCTACTGCTGTCCTCCAACACAGCTAAGTGGCAGCTTCTGCCCAGAATCAGGAATTGGGCTACTCCAAAGGAGAAGAAACCATTTGCTGGCAGATGAGCAGCTGAGGCAGAGCTACAGCTTAAATACCCAGGCTTCACCAGCTCTGCATCTGTATCCTCACCTGCTGCCTCCTGCTCCAGCTAATGATTATTTTTCCCTCTCCAGGTTGCTGGAAGGATTTGAAATGTCTCCACAAGCCTCCAGTCCAGTCTCCAAATGGAGCAAGGCATAACTGTGAAACCCTGGGTTTCACTGTGATGCCCAGTTCCATGTGAGGTCATAGAATCATATTGTATAATGGCTTAAGTTGGAAGGGACCTCAAAGATCATCTAGTTCCAACTGCCCTGCCCACCAGACCAGGCTGCCCAGGGCCCCATCCATCCTGGCCTTGAATGCCTCCAGGGATGGGGCATCCACAACTTCTCTGCACAGCTGTGCCCAGAGGGCATTTCCTTCTCTAACCTAAATCTCCCCTCTTTTAGTTTAAAGCCATTCTCCCTTGTCCTGTCACTGTCAGACAACTTAAAAAGTCAGTTCCCCTCTTGCTCATAAGCTCCCTTCAAGTACTGGAAGGCTGCAATGAAGTCTTCCTGGCACCTTCTTGTCTCCAGGCTGAGCAAGCCCAACTCCCTCAGCCTTTCTTCATAGGAGAGGTGCTCTAGCTCTCTGATCTTCATGGACTTCCTCTGGACTCACTCCAACAACTCCACATCCTTTCTTTAACTAGGTCCCATGCCTGGATGCAGTACTCCAGATGGGGCCTCCCAAGGACAGAGCAGAGGGGAAAAATCACCTCCCCCTGCTGGCCACCTCTCTTTTGATGCAGCCCAGGATACTGCTGGCCAACTGTTGGTCCTCCTTTTCTCCCAACTCCACTACTTGTCCCCCTGTAAGCTCATACCCTATGGCTGCATTTCCTAAATTCTCTCTCATTTTTTATTTTTCCTGCAATAAAGACTGGTGCAATGGGAAATGTACCATAAACCAAACTACTCAAGACTGTTGGAAGAAACTCCCTGGTGAGGTGCATACTTTGCTTATGGGTGAGAAATGGCTGTGAGTCCCCTTTGTCTGTGGTGGTGATGAATTCACAGCAGGGGACAGCAGCAGGGATGGGCTTTGTTTGAGCAGTTTATGGAGGTCTGCAGAGCAGATGCTGGTCTTCACCACTCCTGAAGGTGGTGGTCCCCAAAGCCATGCCAGTCCCAGTGATGTTTTATAGCCTCTCAAAAGCTCTGATTGCAGAGTTGGGTTGCAAACCACCAGGGAAGGTTTAGCAAACCCAGCATTTGGCACAAGAAGCTGCTTTTACACCACACTCCAGCTTTTTTCCTTGTTTTCCTAAAGAAAAAAGATTTATGTGAATCATCCTGGGCAGTTTCAACCCAAATGACGCTGAGCTGAAGAGCCCTCAAGAAAACTATGTTCCCTCCAGATTTGAAGGGGAAAACCAACCACTGCCCTTGGGGACCATTGCACTGAGGGACCCTTCTTGTCCTTGGCAGGATCTGGGAACTGAAACCATTGGCAAAAAAAAAAAAAAAAAAAAAGTTCTGAGCCCTGAACACTGAGCCAGGCCTCCACATTAGCTGGGGTGGAGCTCCTTCATCTGGGAGAGGCCAGAGAGGGCTGGAAGGGTAGTGCTGGTCCACTCCACCCTGTCTGCTTGGCCAAAGCTCTTCCTCTGCCCCTGATTGCACGCCAGCAGCAATTCCACCTCCTGGCTGGAAGTGTGCAGTGGTGATGTTGTGACTCTTTAAGATGTGAGGTGGTTGGACTCAGCTCCGAGCAAGTGAGGGGAACACAGGTGTATTGTGGCAGGGAATATTGGAGTGGACTGGGAGCAAAAATGGGTTGTAAGGTGTGACTGCAGCTTTAGGAACAAGATGTTAGACAAGATGTCATCCAGGTCTACTGGGTGCTGGGCTGAACAAAGGATTATAGAAGGGTGCAAGATTGGAGTCAGCTCTTTTGGCTGTTCACATTCTCTGTAAATATAAGTTGTGTTTGCAAGAGCCTTTTTACAGGAAGAGACGGCAGTGATGAAAGAGACCATAAAACCAGGTGATTCTTCATCCAAGCTGTCTACCAAGACAAAGTGATTGGTCTTCTGTGTAAGATCTCAGGCCAGCTTGGCATTGCATGTCCACATTGGACAACATGGCTGAGCCCATCCGTTGTCTAACAGGAGAGACCTCGTGGCATCTCCCTCCACTGACAATGGGAAAACAAAGCTGGGACAGCCTCTATTTTCCCATGGGAGGACACAAAACAAACTCCTAATTCAGTTATCCCCTCAGATGGTACTGCACATGGGACCACTGAATTTGTCCCCCATCTGATGGGGTGGCTTATTGACTCAGGACATTACAGGACTGGGTAAACCCGGCCATGTGTGATGAGCAGAAGAGAATTGAAAAGGCTGGATGCTTGGATTCATCTCACTGGGTTGTCATCTCCCCCCCAGATTTATCACCCGCTGCTAATTAGAGGCAGCCAGCTCTGACTGATGTGGATAAGCTCTGGCTGCGTGCTTGCAGGCAGGGAGAGCAGGGCTTGCCACCTCCAGGCAATGGACTCCTGACTGTTCAAGCTCAAGTTCGTGTCCTCAGGAGCTCGCAAGCTGAGTGGGGCAGTGGAGAAAAAATGAAGGGCAGCAAAAGCAAGGCAGGCTATGCAGGAGTGAGCACAGCCCAGAGCTAAGCTTTTCTTTTGGCAGCTGGTACCAGATATTCAAAGGGGGACCTTTTTGATTTTTTTTTTTGTCTGTCACCCAAACAGACCCTGCAGGGGAGAAAATTATTTAAACCCACTGTGTTTACTCTGGTCCTCTCTGAATGCTGCATCTTCTTTCACCATTCCTCTCCATCCCACTCTCCAAGAATTACAGATCCCAGCCTTCACTCAACCTCTCCCTTAAACTCCCCTCCCAAACAGAATCAGAGGAAGCAACTGTCCATGGCTACTGTCTGAGGGCAGCCTGTGCTGGACCCAGGATCCCTTCATTGTCTTCTTCCCCCCACTGTCTTCCTAACACCAGGGAAGTCCCCATGACACAGCTGGGGATGAGTCCCAGTGAGCCTTGGTGGGAGGAATATTGGATGAGCTTGCAAGAAGCAGGAAGGACCTGCTGCACAGTTTGGTTTGGCAGCTCCATATGGACAATAAAAGGTCAGACTGCAGAGGAACTTGTTTTGGTTTAATTCCCTGGCTTTTGTTCAAGGCTGTGTCCTTAAGGACGTTGATTCTCACCCTGGCGGCATGCTGAGAGCATGGGTTGGCAGCTGGCTTTTTGTGCTAGCTGATGGTTTTATTGTTTTTTAGCATTTTCTGGAGCAGAAGAGAAGGTAGGGTTAGGTGAATGCTGAGGTTGAGACAGAGGTGAAGAGCAGTGTCCCCCAGGGGTCTGTAGTGATGGCTACTCTTTAAGATCTTTATCAATGACACAGATGATAGGATCAAGAGCACCCCTAGCAAGTTTGTTGATGACACCAAGCTGAGCAGTGCAGTTGATGCAGCAGAATGTGGGCTGCCTTCCAGAGGGATCTTGATAAACTCGAGAGGTGGACCCTCATGAACATACTGAAGTTCAACAAAGCAAAGTACATGGTTTTGCATTTGGGTCAGAGTAATCCTAGGTATGTGCAGAGACTGTAAGAAGAACTCAAGAGTAGCCCTGCTGAGAAAGACTTACAGCTTCTGTTAGATGAAAAACTTAACATGAGCCAGCAGTGTGCACTTGCAGCTGAGAAGGCCAACTGTATCCTGGGTTTCATCAGAAGAGGGGTGGCCAGCAGAGAAAGAGAGAGAATCTTCCCACTCTACTCTTCCCTTGCAAGGCCCCATCTGGAGCATGGTCTCTGGGTCTGGGGCCCACAACACAGGGAAGATATGGAGCTTTTGGAAAGGGTTCAGAGGATGAGGCTCATGAAGATGATCAGAGGTCTGGAGCACCTCTCCTATGAAGGCAGGCTAAGGGAGCTAGACTTGTTCAGCCTGGAGAAGAGAACACTGTGAGGAGACCTCATTGCGACCTTCCAGTATTTTAAGAGACTTTATAAACAGGAGGGAAACCAACTTTTTAGATGAATAAATAGTGATAGGATAAGTAGGAAAGTTTTAAACCAAAGAAGGGTAAATTATATGTCAGGAGAGACATTTTTCACCTAGGGAGTGGTGAGGTGCTGGAACAGGTTGCCCAGAGAGATTGTGGATGCTCTGTCCCTGGAGATGTTCAAGGCCAGAATGGATGGAGTTGGATGGGGCCCTGAGCAATCTGATCTAGTACTTGATCAAGTGGATGTCAACCCTGCCTGTGGCAAGGGGGTTTGAAGTTGGTAAAATTTGAGGTCCCTTCCAGCTCAAGCCATTCTATGATACCATGACTAGGATCTGGCTTGGTCTTGAGTTCACAACTTGAGACCTCTTCTGCTTGAGATTCGTGGGAATTTGATTGAGGATTTGATTGATTGGGTATTTCTGGGAGACCCAACAGAACAGGAATTCAAGCCCATATTGTGGAGGAAGCTGCACAAATGGAATAAAGTGGGAGCAGATCCTTGCCAAACAGTCCCAAGCAGAACTGAGTTGAAGCAATAGGAGGATCCGTATGGAAACTGTGAAGTTTGCTGGTCTTCAGTTCCTTGTAAGATGTAAAGACTTCAGTATACACGCCAGATCTTCTCAGTCTTCAGTATCCATACGAATGTGGTGCTAAGCCTGCTGAATAGCTCAACTGCCTTTATGGGCCAGACATGCCTAGGAGTGATGTCAGGATAATAACAACAGTCTGATTGTTAATAATAACAGTCTGATCTAGAATCTGATTAATAAAAACATAGAGAACAGCAATATAAAAAGTGCCAAAGTGATTTTATGGAAAAAAGGTCTTGTTGGACTAACTTGATTTTGTTCTTCTAGATCATAGGATTGGTTCATAAACATAACTGCATGTGCAACATGCTTGTGAAATATTTGATTTATACAAAGTGACATTCCAGTGGGGGGAAAAAGCACCGCACAGCATCAATAGAGCATATGTTATATGAGCTAAGAGTTGGCTAACTGACAAAACTCAAGAAAAGATGATCAATGTGGAATCATTAGTGAATGGATCTGTTTTGTCTGAGGAAAATCCAAAGCTATGCAGTATTCTCCACCAGTGTGCTGGAAATAAAACCCCAATTGCTTCTGATGGAGCTGGGAAGGGATTAAAAAGGGTGGAATGATGTGAATGAGGAGACACAGCCACAGGGA